TTATCTTGTTCCAGTGAATTGATAGGCCACGGGGGCTACGATGAGGTTACTGTGTCTTCATTTATCTAGTTACTTTTAGGACTAAAGGATAGGACACAGAATTTTGTGTAGCTCATTTTTTTTTTCAGTTCTTACTCTGTAAGTAATTTTAAACAAGGATTTCTGTTTTTGTTAAAAATAAATAGCAGAACTTCAGAAACCTGATTTGGAGTTTGACAGTACTGGAGTATGTACGAAAAATTTTGTCTAGGCACACAGAAGTGGAAATGAATGTTCTTTTTCTGCTACTAAAGTGTTAGGAGCTGCTGAAACTGTAAATTGATCATATGTGGGAGGGTAGGATGAAGCCTCATTGCCTAAAACTGTCAAGTTCTCTCATTCTTGAGAAACACACCCTTCCTGGACAATATGGGCTATTAGTAGTTAGGTCACATTGTATCTTGTAACTTTTCTAAGGCATAAATAAATGTCCTCCTGTTGTTGGGGGTAGTATTGCCAGCCAGGCAGAGGGGCCACCACCTGACCCAGCTCTGGTCTTCTTGTCTATTTTTTCCTCATTCTTGCTGCCATTTCTCCCCGGGATGCAATGGATCACACCAAGAAACAAACAGATCCCTACACCAAAATAGTATTTTCTCTTCATATTTAACCTAGCTACAACTAAAAATGAAACAATACTATATTGATGAAATCTCCTGTTACTGAGACCAAAGATGTGCTGCACACAACATAGGGAAGAAATGGTTTATATGGCTCATCTTTTCATCCTACGGTCGGCTGGATCCAATCCAGCAACAGCATGGCAGAATCACATGGGAGAGCAAAGTTGCTCACTTTCTGGTGCCCAGGAATCAGGGCTTGGGGAGGAGTGACAGTGAGAGACACACGCTCTGAAGAAAGCAGGACTTAGTGACCTACCTGCCGCAGTTGGGCTCCACATCTGAAAAGAATATTCAGCCACAGGTATCAGCGCATTTGTCCACTGAGGAGCATAGCCTTCTGACATCTACTCCCCTCTCCAGAAATCTCTGGTTAAATTCATAATCAAGTCGTACATGTGTTTATAAAAAATCAAAATGTTCAAGAAATAAAGGATGTTTTTTGAAACCAATTCTTTAATCAATCTGTGAAATAAGGAAAAACATTCCCATTCTCAGAGGGAAGAGCTGACGAATAATTGTAGTCCTCAAGTCCTATCTGGCTAAGCTCAGGGCCTAGGAAGAAGAGTGAAGAGCTTTCAGCTGTGGGAACGTCAGGGATGCCAGGCCAGATACAGAGGGGTTTTCTAGGGTGTCTGAAGAGAGACGTGATCATAGGACCTTGTGCCCAGATCAGGCATTTCTGAAAGCCAGCAGCACACAGTGCAGTGCCCTGGCTGTATGACCCCAGACTAATCAGTTCTTTTGCTCAAGTAAAAGTTGCATATTTTGTTATCCTATTAGCTCTTAGACTCTCTAGGAAGATTCTTTCTATTTCTGTGACTCCATGAAGACTATTCAGTTGATCTCAAGGGAGAGTTGTTCCAAGTTGCCAGTCTGCCAGGACTTCCTGTCCCTTGTGGTCTTCTCCAGGTGAGTGCCATCACTGGCTTCTGTGCCAGTACACCTGCATGACACAGGTCAAACCCATTATGACCCCTCACACAGAGGACCCACAGTAGCTGCATGGGCAATGGACCCCTTTAGGAGTGTGGTGGAAGTGTGTGGATTCCGCAGGTTCCTTGTCTCCATTGGGCTGGCTCTACCAACACCAACCACTACCACACCAATGTTCTCCCCAGGCTGACACATAGGGATCAAGACAGAGTCTGTGAAAGACAGGAAGTTCAGAACAGAAAGCTCTGACATGTAGTAGAAAACAGCAAAAGAGAGGATCAGTGAGAGTCCTGAGGGGCAAGAAAAGCAGACAACCCAGGGCACACAAGAAGCCTCACTATGGGGGGTTAGGGAGCCACATACCTTTAATCCCAGAATTCTGGGAGTCTGAAGCCAGAGGACAGCAAGTTCAAGACTATTTAGGGCAACGTAGTGTTTTACCAAAATCCCATCTAAAAATAAAATAATAATAATTAAAAAAGATTTAGCGATACAGTTCAGTGTGAAAGCTCCAGGTTCAATTCCAAAGACTGCAATAAAAAAGAAACAAAAAGCTAAAATAATGTTTTAGTGAGAAATTACTCTAGCAGTCAGTTACACTGTCTGTGATGAGCTTTAGGAAATGACTGCTAAGTCAAATTGCGACCCTTGTCAGGAAAATTGGCTGAGTAGACTGTGAGCCATGGACTGGTGGGCAGATGGATAAATGTTTTTGCCTCTTATTTTCCTCTATTTTTTCAGCTGCTCAGCAATAGGAAAAACATTACGTTGGGAAATAAAAACCCATAAGCACCTACAGTGTTGAGAAAATGAATTGCATTATGTGTTGTCAGCATTCACAAGTGTTTCTCCGAGTTGTTCTTGTGGCTTTATTATGCAGTAATCCCTCAGTAGAGATTTCACACCTGCAGACAATCATAAGACATCAATTGTCATGAAATCCACCCACAGCTCAAACCACGTTCTTTTCAGTGACATTTGCTCTACCACCCTTCACTTCCTTCTTGAGGTCAGTGAGCTTCTCTGGTCTTCTCCCCATGGGACTATGAAACCCATTAGTCGAGGTTAGATAAACATAAAACAGTATTAGGGGAAATTCTGCTGCAGATACACTCAATAGTAGAAGGTTCTAACTTTTTAGCCCTCAGGAGGGCTTTGGAGGTCCATCAAGACCCTCTTGGTCTGCTGAAGAGATATAAAATTTGGTGAGGGGAAAGAAGGACTCTCTTGTATCCTCCTGTACCCACCCTAGAAGAAACTAACCATTCCAGGGCACCCAGAACTCAGGCCCCTGGGGTGGCCATGCAGAGGGTGGGGAGGCAGAGTGGATCAGGCAGACCCTGAGAGAAGATCTGGGAGGCAGAACCTGGTAACGTGACCTCTGGGTCTGCAGGAGCCGCCTTGGCCTGGAAGAACAGGCTCAGAGCTGCCCTGGGGCCTGGGAAGGAGCCGCAGCTGACTCTGTCGCTTCAAACAAATGGAATAAGTGGGGCACACAGGACATGACCATTGTTAGTGACCTGGGAGAACCTGATCAGAAAGAGCAGGGTCCTTGACAGATATTTATGAGTGTCAGCCGATCACACCACGGTGAAGTGGGGGCAGGAAGTGAGCCGGGGACTGTGCTGTCCTGGGCACAGGAGCAGCCGCAGCCAGCTTTTCAGTGTAGAGTCACACAGGCGTGAAACACCGTGCCAGTCCAGGCTGCGCAGTAGTACACCCCAGAGTCGCTCGCTTCCACATTCCGCACTACGAATTTACTGTTCTTTGCTGTACCTACATAAGCATCGAATTTCCCTTTCGGAAGTCCTGAGTCCAACACAGCTTTGGAATTGGAGAAATCATAATAGAGCAAGCGTCGTGGCACTGTCCCCTCTTGAAATCGGTACCAGTGGATGTAGTTGGTTTTTATATGGATAGTGCAAGTGATTTCCACATAGGACCCGCGCGGCCTGTTCATCACCGTCATTCCCTCTTCCACGTTGGAAGATGTTTGACTGCCTGCTGGAGAAACAGCACAGAACAGTGAAGAAGAGTTAGTGGCATCCTTTCACATGGCTCGGGGGGAAAAATGGGCCTCACAGGCAGCTGCACACTTACCAGGAGGCAGGAGAGCCAGAAGCAGGGCCACAGCCCACAGCATGGCTGCTTCTCCTGGGCCTTACAAGGAGAGGAACCAGCTGAGAAGAACCAAAGCCCTCTCCAAACACAAATCCTACTCCACATGAAGGGATCCCTGCAAGATTGAGCTGGCGCTGGTCTTCCTGACTGAGTGGCAGGCTGGAGCACCAGCTGAGGAACTTTCTTAGAAGACAGCCCAGCTGCTGGCCAGAGGGGCGCGGCCTGAGAGGAGCCCCTGCCTGCTCTGCAGCGCCTCCCTGTGGCCGCCGGGCGCACGTCCTCACCAGAGGAAGGGAAGCCCGGGGCCCTGAGCGCTCTGCAGAGAGGCCGGCTCTGTGAACCCGGAGAGAGGCTGAGCCTGGGTAGCACAAGCCAGTCCCCTGGGAGAACCCTGACTTGTCTGCGTTCAGTCTGTGTTAATTCTTCCACCGTGTTCTTGTCCTGAGATGAAAGCTCTTCATTACTGACCGCGAACACTCTAACTTATATCTGTGTACAGACTTGGGCAGCTACAAACAGAGACCCTGATAATCCCTGACTCCAGTTTACTAAGGGAAATAAAGTCATTGATGTTGGCTGCTTGTGACACTGGGCCAAAGCGAAAGAGACATATGTCAACAGGTCCGGGTCAACTGTTTCAACAGTCGTCTTCACCTAGTCAAAATGATCATCACATAGGAAAGCAAGATGTAGTTTAAAAAATTTACAATGTGCCACTCCAAGAAATATTTTCCACACACAACGTTTTTCACAAATACAAATTGATATATGCATGCTGTATTTATTTTTCCACATCTTTTCATTAGTGCTACTGATTATAGAGATTGGTGGATTTCATTTTGACAGCTTCATATGTGTACATTAAATATTTCCATTGCTTTCACAACTTGCTCTACCCTCTCTTTTCTAACATCCCCCCTTACTTCTCATTGATGAGATGTTCAATGCACGGACTAGTTTTGATCACTTCCACTCCTCACTACCCTGTACCCCCAGAAGTATACTGCTGCATTTCATTTGGATCCATTGATGGAAAGATTGATGATCAAACTGATGGAAAGATTGATGATCAAACTGGTGTAATGAAATAAAGGTAGCACTGTAAGGTGACGGCCCAGATTTTCTTCCACCAAATTTATTCATAATTTAAATATATGCTTACATTTTCAATAATGGAATGTTGAAAAACTGTTCCTGACAGTTACTGTTTTTGGTCTCACTCAAGTAATTCATCTTTTGAAGCAATGAACCCTGGGAAGTCAGATAAGTAAGATATTTGGGCTGCTCATCCTCTGCCCCAAGGGACCATGTATGCAGGGACAGGGGGTAATGCCACAGAAGCTAGATAGCAGAGCCCCAGGCCATGTGCAGGAGGATCTCCCAGGTCCACACCCACTGCTACCTGGAGCCAGGAGGGTCCGGCCTGGGACAGAGGCTCAGGCTGGAATCAGAGAAGAGAGTGTTGCTGTCACAGTAGAGAATGACAAAACAAAAATGTGAAAAACACACAACCAACATGTCGAGTAGGAAGCTACCCTAACAGAGTATGAAAGCTAAGCACTTAAGGGAAGCCAGCACTGGGGCTAGAGGAGAAAGACCTGTGGGACACTGAGGAAAATCCAGAAAGATCCACAGGTGCATGAGACTTTAAAGGAGGGTGAGCCTGCACACACAGAGCAGCCAGGCTGACGAGGTGTTCCATGCATCCTCCTCTGGTGACTGGCTCACTATATGGGAAGACATACTCTGGAATGAACACTTCCCCACTTGCAAATAGTGCTGAGGTGTCATCAAACTGTAAGTACAAAGCATTCAGGTTTATCATTCATAAATTGCAAAAAGTTATGGGTGAGATAGTTTACTAAGAACAGGGGCTGTAAAGGAAAACTGGTTGATTTTATGAGGAAAAAATGCATATTTCTACTCACTGAATTGGTCAAAAAAGAGATAATGAGGAAATATCTTTCCTGCTTGTTGTCTGCATGGCCAATGTGTGTGAGACCACGTACAAACTAAGAAAAAAATAAATCTTCTAATAGAATAATGGGTAGTTCATATAAAGGTGACATTCATTCAATAGGAACTATAAATGACAACCACATTTGTGAAATTACTTTAGCCCTTGTTACAGTTAAGAAAAATCAAATTGAATGAACACATCTCATTTTAAGACCACAGCACTGGGCTAGCCCTTGTATTTTACCGCCTTGGCAATGTCAGTTCATCCCATCAACCTCAGTTTCTAATCTGCTGTGCTCAGTGCTACTGGAACCCTCAAGCAGTATTCATAGAGATTAAATGAGATTATATAGCTAGAGTGCTCAGCACACCACCTATGAGGCAGAGAGAACGTAATTTATCATTCTTCGTTATAATTTCTATTACCAGAGTAATTGTTGTATACAAATTTCAGAAATACTGGATCAATTATGCACATTCTAAATAATAAATGAATAAAAACATTAAAAGTATTAATTGTATGAATTATGTTGTGTGTGAAAATATTTAAATAATGTGTGTGCATTATTTAAATTAAAGTGTGAAATCCGGTTGCTAGAAAATGAAATGATGATTAAAATTTATAGAACTTAATGCTTCTGATCACAAGTTTCAAACATCAAATTTAAATAAATATGCATAACATATTATCTGAAAGTAGTAGTGGATAGATTTATCATATTAATTTGAACAACATGTTTTGAATCAATGAAGCAAAGTAAAAAATTCAATATAACTGACTATAATTTTGTTAGTGTAGATGACAAATAATGAAGAATCGAGTCTATAATCTCTAAAAACATCCTGCCTTATATTTTTGACTTTTGCACATAGGTAGAAGTTCTCATTGTTTCAGTACAAATTGAAAAAGAAAACCAGTTTCAAAATTAAAAGCTAAGGACTAAAAGGAAAGAAGCTACCTACCCATCACGGGTAGCGGGCAATGTAATTACTCCAAAACTGTTACAATTTAGAATGCAACAGTAAGAGCTGCCACGCTGGGCACCGAGAGGTGGAGGCACCCACAGTTCTGAGCTGGCGCACTGAGGGCTGGAGCCATTGGCACTTAGAGCCCCTAGCCACAGGCATCAGAGGAGTGGCTCTTTGCAATGAGCGAGCTGCATCTGCATTGAACCAAAAAGCCCTCAAGTGTGTTCATTACAGTGGACTGCAGTTGTGTGGGGGTCTTCATTAGGTGCCCCTGGACACTGCTGCTGCGTGGAAAGAAGGCCAAGGTGACAGTGGGAGAAGAATTTCTGTAGTCAGGACTCTCTACATATATTTCCACCTTGTTTGAATGTAGATAAGATAAGAATTTTTTAGTTTTACTTTTAGCATTTTCTTGCAGTATTCTTCAAACGTCATCAATTTTCCAGCTCCTAAGCATAAACATAATATTGTTGGCTCTGTGATGTAAAGTGAGTGATGTTGCCTTTCTTTTCTGTATAGATTCATTAATAAGACATTGTCTTTCCTTTAAAATGTCTGATCCTCTCATGAATGGTATTTCGACTTTTTTTTCAAGCTCTGCAAGCAGAGGGTGTTCAAGGCCTGTTTGTGGAACAGCATTGTTCTTCATGGCCACAGGTCCTGTCTGGGCAGCCCAACAACTCACCAATGAGCACTTGTATCCCACAAGATGCCTGTGATCCCACCCTTGTCCCCTGAAGCTACCTGGTCCAGCCTTCAGGCCTGCCACGCTTCAGGCGCAGGCTGTGGACATGCTGCATGTAACAAGATTAACTGGCACAAAATATCAAGAATAAAGATTGTTTGTTTAAAAAAAAATCCTTCAGTCAGTTTTATCAATAGGGTATTTTATCAACAAATACCCATCCCAGAGTGAAGAGCTGATGAATATGTGTAGTCTTAAATTCCCATCTTCCCAGGCTGAGGGCCCAGGGAGAAAGCTGAGGAGGCCTGCGGTTGAGGGAACCTGAGCAGGAGCCAGGGCAGCATGGGGAGGGGGTCCTGGGATGTCCAAAGCAATGGATCTCAGGCCTCTCACCCAGCTCAGTCATCTCTGAAGTTTTATCTTGGTCATCAATTTACGGAGCATTGGTCAGATGTCGACGACCCCACAATCATCAGTCCATTAGCCCCAGTAAAAGTTACATCCTTTGTTATCTCATTGGTTCTTAGAATATTTGGAGAGAACCATTTATGTTATTGCTATTTCATCAAAATCATCTGGCTTAGTTGTTGGTTGGCCATATTTTTGGGTTTTGGGTCTTCTCCAGGTGAGAGCCATTACTGGTCTCTGTGCCACCACACCTACATGACACAGGTCATACCTGCCATGGGCTTCTGCTCTGGGCACGTGGTGGCAGCCAGACTTGTGGAATCCCTTTGTGTGTGGAGATGAGAAGGCTGTGCATTCCACAAGTCCCTGGTCTTCTGGCTCAGTCCAGGTCCTGAGGAGCAAGAAAAGCGGCCAACCCAGAGTGTAGGCAAAGCCCAATATGAGTTTCCACGGTGGGACACACCTGTGATCTCTGCAGTCTGGGTGGCTGGGACAGGAGGATGGACATTTGGAGCCCCAGCCTGAGCAACCAGAGAATTAGCAAGACCTTGTCTTTAAAATTTGAATATTTATTTTTAAAGACTGAGAATATAGCTCAGTGAGAAGGTTCTACGTTCAGTCCCAGAAACAAACCAAATAGAATTGCCTAGTGAAGGACTAGTTAGCTCTGTCGCTGCACCCTTTAAGAAGTGACAGCTTTGCAAATGCCTGGATGGGAAAATCAGCTTCCTAGACAGTGAGCTATGGGCTAATAGGAAGATGGGAGGATTTTTTGCCTCTTATATTCCTCTAGAAGTTGCTTCTTTATATGATTAGCAACAAGAAAATATTACTTTGGGTGAAAGAAACTGTATTAATCGCACATTTTGTTGTCAAAATGAACTGTATTTTGTGTCATGAGAACTCACACGTGTTTCTCCCAGTTGGTATTATGGTCTTATTATTGAGTAATTATTCCTCATTAGAAATTTCACAGCTTCTGGTGACCACCAGCCAAACCTTTAGTAATATCTGCCCATTTCTAGAGCCAGGCACTCTGTATGGTGATATCTTTTCCTTCTACCTCTCTCCCTTGAAGGGTGCCTCTGGGCTCCCAATGAT